CCCAAGCCAAGAGGAAGGGGAGGAGGATGGAGAATTAGGAAGGAATTAGTGGGGCTTGAACATAATTTATTGACTGAATTTCATCTTAGACTAGTCATTAAACTATTACATCTATAATGTGAATCTTGATATTTAAAGAAATAATTTAATGGTTAAAAACTTAAAATTTTAAATTAAAACTGTTAAGTTTGAGTTTTTGGATCAAGTAAAAAAAAATTAAAAATTAAAAATTTATTTTTTATTATATAATTTATAATAAAAAAATAACAATAATAATAACGTGAATGTCGATTGGACAATCGATTATCATGTGAGGGCGGGTACATGGTAAGCAGAGCACGTTATGTCAAGCGCGTTGATCCACGCATCCTCTCCGATTCTTGCCTCTCGCACTCACTCGTCCAAGCCAAACACTAGCACCGCTCGCTCTTCCATGGCCTCAGCTCGTGCCCGCATCGCCGTCGTCGGTGACGTCGTGAGTAACCTGCTTCTATCCCTGCTGCGTCTCTTCTGAGGGTTTATTCCGTATTTTCTTTAACTTTTTTTACTTTACTTTTTCTTTTGGGGGTTTTTTGAAGCACGGCTTTTGGAATCTTGAAGAGGATACCAAGGCCCTTCGATCCCTTCAGGTAATTGTTCACTGTTCAATTATCAGCAAATTGTTTACTGTTTTCCATTTCCAATATCTGTTTCCTACATCATTTTGGCCCGTATGAGAGGCTCAACCGCTCTGGCAGTGTAGAATGCGTAGACTTGAACAAAAGTAAGGATTTTGAGAAAAGGGTATAGAGACTACAGACTCATGATTTAGTTTGAAGTGAAAATCTTGACATGGCAAGGAAATGAAATTTTTTTTTTTTTTTATGGTACTGTCATCTTTGTCATGAATCATGATTCAACTAAAGAGTTAAGCATTCCATCGTTATTATATGCAATATTTTTAATACTTGTGAATTTATATGACTTGTTTGCTAATTGGCGTATTATATGTGTGCAATTCGTATTTGTCTTTGAATTTTTAAGGCTTTCTAATGCTTAGTTGGCTCAGCTGTTTAGAGTTTACATTAAATTTTAGAGTTAAAAAATTTTCATATAGATCTAATATAACAATTTGTGAAAATGCAGCCAGATTTGGTGTTATTCACAGGCAGGTGTCTTCTCCTTTGATGTTGCTGTATCTGTATATCCCCTATATTTAGTTCTTTTGTGGCAGCTTCATTCTACTTTTGGTCTGTTCCAACTGGTAAGGCACCTAGAAAGGATGCATTTATTGGTGTCATGGCCACATTGCACCATATGACTATTTAGCACTACTCAGAACTGACCACCTATGTGCCTGGATGATGCAGGGAACTGACCTCATATTATATTTTTGTGTCTGGTTTTCTTCCCTTTCATATCCTTTGGCTATGTTCAGGTGATTTTGGCGAGGAGGATGTTGAATTAGTTCAGAGTGTTGCAGATCTTTCATTTTCCAAAGCAGTTATTTTGGGAAATCATGATGCCTGGCACACTCAACAGTTTTCTGGAAAGTTAGTGACTCGTGACCAAAGAGTCTGTGTTTCCATTAGTAGTTAGGTTTTCTTTATCAAACATATTATACTTTCTGATGTGTAACTCGGATTTTATTGTTAGGAAAAAGGATGGTGTTCAACTTCAGCTGGAATGGTGAGTCCAATATACTTCTAACAATGTTGAATTTTATACATGTTTATGCTACTATTTATATCTTGGCAGAACTTTTTATTATCAGTATGATTTTAGAGGCTTAAGGCAATGAGTATTGTAGAGGTTTTCACATATGGAAAGCATGCATGGGGCAGAATCTTGATCAAAATGTTTTTGAACAATTTCCAAATATTGTTCAACATTAACATTAATCAGGAGTTAGCATTACATTTGTTAGGTAAATTTTGATCTGCCCATTGTCTTGTTCTTTCCTTTTTTCTAACTCTGAAAATATAACCTTCCATAATTTCATTCATTAGGTAAATTTTCTCTGAAGGTTTAGTTAATATATATGGTTATCAAACTAGGACATTGAGGAGACATTTATGTGCTTATATGTCTGTGCCTGCTCATACTTCTCACTCTTTTCTGTTGGTGTACAGGCAACAAAGAAATTTATAGTCTTTAGCACATTTTATATCTTGTATGCCAGCATTTTGAGGGATTTCAGATGATGTTAACTATAATTTTATGAAAATCAGCCTGGGCCAGGAACATATAGGCTATAGACGTCTTGATTTTCCTATTTTAAAACTCAGTGTTGTTGGTGGACGGCCATTTTCATGTGGAGGTGGGCGAATATTTCGAAAAAGGCTTCTCTCTGCGAGGTTTGTATTGCATACAGTTGTAGCTTTTCTTAGAGAGAGTAGGGTTTTTTCAACTTCCTACTTATTCTTGTTTTTGAATGTTTTTCCTACCCATCATTTTACCATGGTTGTTGCAATTTGCCAAATTGATATGTCCTTTTAGATATGGAATTCAAGATATGGATGGAAGTGCCAGTAGAATCTATCACACTGCACAGGGAGCACCAGAAGACCATCTGGTTATACTTCTTGCTCATAATGGACCCACAGGTGTCTGACCCCGCCAAATTGCTTCTAAGACAAATCTTACATTGATTGAAACATATGAAGGCCCTATTTCTTGCAGGTCTTGGCTCTGAATTGAATGACATTTGTGGAAAAGATTGGGTGTTTGGAGGTGGTGACCATGGTGATCCAGGTACTATGGATTGGCATTCACACTACATGATGTTTTATTGACCATCACACTGAATGATGTTTACATATGCCTATTCTGGCAGATCTAGCACAAGCCATATCCCAATTGAAAGAGACGACAAAATTGTGTATTCCACTGGTTGTGTTTGGTCACATGCATAAAGAGCTGGCATATGGAAATGGTCTTCGGAAAATGATTGTAGTTGGGCCAGACAACACTATATACCTAAATGGGGCTATTGTTCCTAGGGTTAAGGGATTGGTGAACGAACAAAATGCTACCATGGTGGACAATGAGACCCAACTTCCCTCATCTGAGTCTGGAGGGAGCACTCGTGCCTTCACAATGATTGAAATATTAAACAGAAGAGTAGATAAAATTGCAGAGACTTGGGTTTCTGTTGTTGGAGATAAGACAACATTACAAGAGGAACATATATTATTCCAACGGTCAGATTAGGTTTCTACCTGATCTCATTATCAGTCAAAGACCTTGCAATGACAAGTATTAATCCTGTAAACTTATAGCATCATTATATGCTTTAAATACTGCTCCAGTGTATGTGTTTGGAGTTTATATGCTACTAGCTTTTAAGCTCCATCCTCATGTGTAGACTTGGCACCATAATATACATATTTTTTTTATAATCTATTGGCTCTTCTGGGTCAAACCCCATTTCTTCTTGTGAATCTATGGTATAGAAACTTGTGCAGGCCGGAGAGAAAAAGGAAGGGTGGTAAGGTGGTGGCAAAGGTTGACCAGTTTGCTTATGAATTTTTTTTTTTTTTTTGGACAGAAGAAATGGTTAGATTAGTAGGTTAGTATCTATTTTGAAAGGTATTGAACCTGAGATCAAGAGTATATTCTACCGGTTGTCTTTTTGGGCAGCAGTTACCACCATTGGGTCACAACAGAGGAATGTTTGCTTATGATTTGAATCATTCGAACACTCCCTTTTCTTTTTCTAACGAACAGTTGGAACTTTCTGGACTTTGGTTTTCTTGATTTTCAAGTTTTAACTATTAGTTAATGATGGACAAAAGCATAACCCTATTGACTAATCAAATTATATTGGTTATGAAAAAGGTATCAATCACATGGAAGTGAAGATCCATTGCCTAGATTTCTTCAATCACAATTCGGTGGGACTCTTTAGTCTTAAACAGTTATCTATCTAGTTACATCTGTTTTTCAGAACTCATCTTTCTGTTCTGTGACTTCTGTCTTTAGCCTTCTTTATGACACAGCACTTTTTCTCTTTATTTCCTGGTGCACCAACTCCCAAGCATTCTATGGGCTTTTTGACCCAGTCTTTTCCTTTGGACTAAAGTTTTTACCCCCTCTTGATACCAGGGCTCAGGTTTATTGAGTTGGGGACTGCCTTTTTTTTCTTTGTTAATACCTACCCTACCCATTAGGATACCATGAAACTATGTTTAATGAGTTGGTACAATAGGAAGGGAGTAAAAAAAAGTCAGTCCAGCCGTCTAGGTTGAAAAATTATCATTATTCATGTCTTTTAACGAGTGATATTATTATCATATTTTTAATTATTAAAATTATATTTTTTATTTTAATTAATTATTATATTTTTTAATTTTTAAAAAAACAAAAAAATATAAATTTTTGAAAAAAATGAAATATAAAAATATAATAAATAATTACATTAAAAAACATAATATTAACCATTTAAAGTATAACAATAATATCATCCCTTTTTAATCATCAACATTTCATTAATGAATAATGATAATTTCCAACCGATACTGAAAATCAGTTTTTTTTTTTAAATGCAATATATCTATATTTACATAAATAAAAGGGTCTGATTCCAAGACTTTGAATACCATCAGCAGTTGCTTTCAGTGCAATGTCCCTTATCTTTTTTTTTTGGTAAATGTCCCTTATCTTCAATCCTGATTTTGGAAGTGGGAAATCAAGATAGTGTATGATAGGTTTTGTCATCTTAATTTATTAGGGCCCCCTACTTTAATTTATTGGTCCTGCCCACCCAAACACACTCAGGACCACAGCCACCGGTCCCTTCTTTCTCCTAATAATCTCAAAAGGCCCAAACTTGATATCAAATGGAGAATTCCTCAATTTTTACATAATCTTTCTACAGCTATTGAAAGATAGAAAGGGTATATTCCTCCTAGAGAAATTGTAGGCTTGGGAAGAATATGAGATCGAGACAGACCAGTTAAACCATCAAAAATGGACGAAAATAATCAGGGTTTGGCAGATTTGGAATCAACACTGGTCAAAGTCGCAGAAAGACAGAACGTTCCTGAAGGCAGCTAACAATTGGCTGAGCAAAGGAAGGGAGAAGGGAATGTCTGACTCTGACATCTTCCTGATCTCTTTCTCTCCCTGTTCTAAAAGACCCCACCACCCTTTGACCAAATCTCAGCCCTCCATCTCAAACAAGTTGTACTTTTCTTTTTCCTTTTTTTTTTTTTGTTTGAAAATAGACAATAGAAGTTATACTTTTTCTTAGTTTGGCTTTAATTTTTTGGGTTAATAATAATCCTGACGGCACTAGATTTTAGGACAGTATCACCTTGTTTAGGACAATGGGAGCATCCATATCCTAGCTGGAAGATTAAAAATTCAAAACTACCCTTCAATTTAAAGTGGATATCTATGGGACTATGTCTGCAAATCCGATATTTCATCTACCTACCGAAGACGAGGTTCTGTCATTCAGACAAAATTAGAATGATTTACAGATCATTCACCAGTTCATCATCAACACCGGCATTGTTTCTTTTGATGTTTTCTCCTCAGAAAGAAGAAGAAAAATCCAAATAAAGAGATAAAAAGGAAGAGAGTTTATTGTTTATTTGGTAGTATGATATGTTCTAGGCCTATGTTCTTCATAAAAAAAAAACACAACTTTAGTTCACCCGCTTAGATCGGATCCAATTCCCCGCTTCCAAATTTCCTACCTTTGATTTCACCCTCTGGATTTTGCCTTTTCATCATCCTCAGTAACAGCAAAAATTAGCGAATTCTAAAAAAACCCCACCGAAAACAGAGTAAAAACGACGCCTTTGAAGTTTTCAAAGACGAAAGCTTTCACCTTGATGATCGTTGCATGAGGGTTTAGGCTCCATATCTGAACCGGATTTTTTTTCTTTGTGGGTGGTAAATGGGAAACGTGACGTCAAATGTGGCGGCAAAGTTTGCGTTTTTCCCTCCAGACCCGGCGACGTACCAAGTGTGTAGGGAGCAGGATGGAAGGGTGGTGTTGTCGGGGTTGACGGTAGATAAGAACGTGGATGTGCATTTGCTGGATACCAAAGCGGGAAATAAGGTCGTCGCCACCTTCTGGAAGCACCCTTTTGCCCGGTTCACGCTATTGTATTCCCATGGCAATGCTGCAGACTTGGGTCAGATGCATGAGCTCTTCATTGAGCTCAGAGCACACCTTCGAGTTAATATTATGAGGTACTTTCCCCCTCTTTTTGGTGTTGTTTCTGATGGGTTTTCTGTTTTCATATTGGATTGATTTAGGATGTGGGTTTTTATGGGCTATTGATACCAATCATGGCTAAATGTTACCTTTTTAGCTCCTGGGATTTCTTGAAAGTATCTTTGTTTCCTTTATTTTTCTTTGATTCATACTAATTTTCTAACATGCGTTCTTCTTCTTCATTTTTATTATCTGCTCTAATAGGTTCTGGGTTTTGAATCTTTTGACTCTTCTCTGGTTTCTGCATATGTTGTTTCTATCTGTTTCTATCACAATTGGTTGGAGGAATCTTTGGTTGTCATTTCAGACATCTTCTTTTATTTGTGAATATCTTTTGTCTCTGGCTCTATGCTCTTTGTCTTTGCATATTTGGGAACCATTCTTTTTTTTTTTTTTCACCTTAATTTTGACAACAATTTGTGATATGCAAGAGCAAGGCTGCTAATCATTGCTTCAATTGAATATCAGTCCGCTATAAATCTTTTCTTAGTTTTCGTATTGAGGATCAGATGCCATGTAAAGATGTCATGAAATTAGGACCTAAAATCACTAATAAAAACTTGAAAATTAAACTATGTCATCAGATGGCCACAAAAACATTATGTCATCAAGTTTTGTCGATCTTTTTCCTAATTAATTCTTTTTTCTTGGGTAACAGTGTTCAAATTCCACTAAAAAAACTTTGACTCTTGTCCATATTTTTCAATGAGTTTCTTTTCTCTGAGCCCAGTAGGGATCATGAGATGTTCTTAATGAAGTAGGGGTATTAGACACATGATTCAGATGTGTATTTATCTGTTATATTATATGTAAATGATGAACAACTTGTACTAGTTGCAGCAGATATGGTTTTCCAATGCCAGAAATGAAAGTAAGATGATGCATCTTTATTGTAATTATAGTAAGAAGAGAATTTTTCTATATTATTTACTGCATTTTGTGCTTTCATTTTGTTGCAGTTATGATTATTCAGGATATGGAGCCTCAACTGGAAAGGTAAAGAATCCATGAGATCAATTTGCATCTGAAATTTGTATAGTTTTGGAAAAACTCAGATGGTTCAAAACAACAACATGAATGGAACCAATAAAATTTATCAATCCAATAATTCATTGGTCCATTTGTTTATTTATGTTTTAACTTGCCTAGCCAATTGGATATCTAATTAGTGGTTATTTTTCATAATTACAATAGCCGACTGAGCTCAACACATATTATGACATTGAAGCAGTATACAACTGTTTGAAGAGCGATTATGGAGTTAAGCAAGAAGAATTGATATTGTATGGCCAATCTGTTGGAAGTGGTCCGACTTTGCACTTGGCTTCCCGATTACAAAGAGTGAGAGGAGTTGTCCTTCACAGTGCCATCCTTTCAGGCATAAGGGTCTTATATCCTGTCAAGATGACATTTTGGTTTGACATTTTTAAGGTAGGTTTTGTTTTGATGTTACCATGATCATTTTTTCTCTTTTATTCTGTTGAAAGTTTACATGATTCCTTGGGTCTGTATTGACAATCTCTGTTCAATATCTACAGAATATAGACAAAATACGACATGTCAACTGTCCAGTTCTAGTTATACATGTAAGTTTCCCTAACCACCCTAATTACTCTTTCATATAGTCTGTTACCTTCACTTAATCTCTTCTATTTAGTGACATCTTTTGTAGAGATCAAAGTAGACTAGTCCTCACCTCTGAATTATGTAATTATTGGGGCACTGCTTAGTTGGTTTCATAATTTTACCGAGCTGAGTTTTCTTCATAAAATTTGAATGAGTTGCATTATCTCATTTCATGCTGAGAGATACTAGCAATAAGATTCGTAGATTATAAATAATGTTTTCTGTATTTGTGTCAAACTCTGATATTTTTTGAAGCCCTAGCCATTCACTTAAATGGGCAGTCTGAGTGGCTCTTGGCATCTACTTGGTACTGTCTAAACAACCTTTGGAATCTTATGTTAAACACCATATATTCATATGTGAAAGGATATCAGCAAGCCATTTGGGAAATTTTATGGTTATGAAATCTTCCTTCATTTGTCATTTCTTTCTGGCTGATTTCTGCATGGTTTCTCACTTGAAACTTTGCATGGTTAAATTTCAATTGCATTTGGAAAGTTCCTTTCACTTACACATTTCTTGCTGGCATGTTGATGGATGGATTCATATCTATTGATGTCACAATTGCAGGGAACAGATGATGATATTGTTGATTGGTCTCATGGGAAGCAGTTGTGGGAGCTTTCCAAGGAGAAGTATGATCCTTTATGGGTCAAAGGTGGTGGCCATTGCAACCTTGAGACTTATCCTGAGTACATAAAACATTTGCGCAAGTTCATAAATGAGATGGAGAGGCTCTCCCTTACAAAACCAGTGAAAGAACTCACTTCTGTCTCAAGCATTTCAGAAACTAAACACAACAAATGCTTGAGATTTGGGAAAAGATAGCCTGATACAAGATGGTAGTGATCAAAACATGTAGTTATATTGCAGTATGAGCCCAACCCCTAGAATTGGTGTTGCCTGCTTTTCACTCCATGCACCCAGTGATTGTCATCCAAGGTTATTGTGCTTGGTTTTCCTCTGAGATTAAGAACTATTCAGAACTTTAGACACTTCTTTTGATCCGGATCCTTGAGAGTGATCCAAATCCCGTTCTGATAAAAATTTTTAGGTGTGGGGTGATTGCATTGATATTTCATTCATGAGATCAAAAGTGTTGCATCAGAATCCCAGAGAAAATCTATCTTGGTGTGGATTTCATGTATAATTTGATGAAGTTGGTCTGTGGAAAAACTATCACCATTTTTAAGAAAGGATATACATGCGTTTTGTTTACTATTGACCATGTATCTTTTCTTGTCCTCTTTTTCTTTCCTGTACAATCTTTAGCTTGTTAGATTACCAAGATGATTTATGTTTCTTCAAGGCAACCTTGAGATTGTGTCATTTATACTTGCTCTGTATGGTAAAATTCTTCTGTTGAGTTTAAGATATGTTCCAGGAGGACAAAGCAGCAACATCTGAAGTACCTGAAACCTGAACGTTGTCAATTAGTATTCCTGGACAGAAGTCATAAAATTAGTGTGCCATAGTTCCAACCAAAGTCCAAAACCCAATTCAAGAGGGCTCAAAGGCACTCCTCCTACCCAATTCTACCATAGGGCCCATCTAAAGGGAAAGATGGAAGAGCCCAAATCATTTGAGAAGCTTTCCTAGGACAAATCTGTCTGCAAGGAAACTGCTTAATTTAATTATTAGTCTACTAATTATTAGCTTAATTTTATTTTAATTTAAAAAATTATTGTTTTTTAGATTGTTTATAAATTTTGTAAAATATTTTAGAGTAGTCTACTATACAAATTTTAACATAAAAATAATAGAAAACTTCAATCAAAATTATAACAAAGTAGTTCCAACTAATAAAGTAATTCACAACAGATTGTGCAAATTATTAAAATATATCAATAATTGTGGTTTTTGCTATAATAGAGAATTGTCAAAAGGGGAAGTTAAAATAGCATATGATAAAGATTACAATCCCTCAAACAATACAAAGGAACTTATCATTCTCACAAAATTAGTTTTATCTCAAAATTAATTTCAATGAGTAAAAATTTATAAAAGATATAATTTAAGATCAATTTGACTAAATGGAGTAAAATTGTTGGTAAAAAGTTTTAAACTAAATAAAAATAAAAATAGAAGATAATATATAAATCTAAAAATATCTAAAGATAATAGATAAAATGAAAAAAATTCAAAAATTATTAGACTATTTATTAAGTTAAGTCGCAAGAAAACAAATGGCATCAACTTTTCTTTCTGTTTCTCTCGTCCTAAACAACGATAGCAAAATATATACATTGTTAATCGTGATGGCATTAAACCTTGCTTTTCATAGGGGTTTCACCAAACTTGTTCTTGAAACTGATTCAATAACGGCAAAGATTTTGCTTGAAGATGGTATCAACTAACAACTAGTTTCATTCGCTGGGTGCCCTCATTTATGATTGCAGGACCTTGATGCTGCAACTTCTTGAGCTGCACTTCTAGCTCTCACATTTATGGGGAGGCTAATGCAGTTGCTGATTTTCTTGCCAAATGAGGAGCAAAGTCTGATTATCATTTTGTTGACCTTGGACCATATCCTCCTGAAACTTTTGCTAAAATATGTATTGTGATGTTATTGGGAATGTTTTTCCCAGAATTATTGTAACTGGTTAAGTATGAAGAAAATAAAGATGAAGAAACACTGTCAATCATTGCTAAAAAAAGGTCATTATGAAGACCTATAATGCAATGCAATTAGTCTATTAACTAGGACTTTATTTAGGCTCAGCTGTTTTCCAAAAGGGTGATTTGAAGTTGTAACTTTCGTAGTCTTATCATTTGTTTCTTTTAATTGACAACAAACTATCAATGGTCGATTTTTAATTAAAAATATATAAATATTTAAATTAAAAAAGAAAATGACTATAAACTGTGTTATATATACCAATTATTAACTAAGTATTGATTATTCTCAAAGAATTTAATCGAACAAAACCCCTAAAATTACATAAATTAGGTTATTGGGTAGATCCCATCAAATGGACAATAATTGTATATAGCCATCTATTTTGATTGATCAATTACTTGACCCAATTTAATTCAATCTAATTGCTTGTAATAAAAGGATTGAAGCTCCCTTTATGGACAGAAAAAACACAGAAACATAAAAAAGAAAAAAAAAAAAAGGGAATAAAAAGGGATTGGTACAATGAATTCTTACAAAAGAAGCATGAAACTTAAAGCGAATGCAAACAAAAAGAGAGAAAATGGGGAATGTCAACATCGATGGAACCAGATAATGGGAAAGCACAATTATTAAGAGGGGACAGAGCCATGTTATTAAAATTTTTCACACGAAAATGGGTCAAATCTTATGTACTTGTCTCCAACAGGGAAATATGCTTTTGTTATCAAGCACCAATTTTATGATCATAAAAATCAAGAGACACACACATCACCCACCAAAGTGGTTCATTGCAAATTCACAACTGGTTTCCAATTGATTAGGAAAAATAATATCATTGATTTAAAAGTAGTGATTTTCACTTATTAGGAAACCTTTATTTTTTAACTTAAAAAAATAATAATAATAAAATCTCACAATCATCCATAATAAAGAGGGGGAGAGAAAAATTAATTAACCTAAAATAAAATCCTTTGGTTCTCCAATAACAGAATTTTCCCTCCGAAATAGGGTAGTGGTTTTATTCAAGTGTTGAATCATTTGCTCTTATAGAGTCCAACTTGCTTTATTAGCTAAAGTATATATTTTTTTTCTGCCATTGCTAAAAGATATGACTCCTTTTGTCAACTTTGTGGTTGTTGCCATGGATATTCTACTTCATTCATAGCAAGAAAAGTAGAAAACTTCAACTTTTAAGAATTATTAAAAAGAACCCTTCTTGAGCTAAAGATAAAAAAGTTAATGAAGGGTACATATTTTAATAGGAAAAGTTGAAATTTTTTAAAGATCATTTTTGAATCTTTGGTAACACCTCCACATCCATTAAAGATAGAGGGTTTTGTGGGTAAAAAAGAACTATTCGTGAAATACCTACATAGAGATTCTAAATGAGGGAATTTTTTAACCTCAAGACAAATCAATCTTAGAAATTAGTATTAGGGACAAACTTGATGGACCTAGTCACTAAGATACAAAGAAAATGATTAATTATGAACTTATGATTGTTCATGAGGTCCATCCACCATTAAGTACAACCCCAATTATGTGAATCATTATAAAATCTTTGCTTGCATGAAATAATTTGAAAATTTTAAATCTTTATCCAAATTCCTTTTTCTCCATAAACTCATTCATGATTTCTGTCAAAAATTTTAACAGTATTAAGAACTTTAATCAATTATTGAGTATTGAAAGGTCTCAAATTTAAATCTTTCAGGCACATAAATCATAATTTTATTATATGGTTCCAGCTGCATGTCATTGATTGCTAACATCCAACTTTCAACCACCTTATATCCAAATAGGATGATATTCCAAATAATTGTCTCTATTTGTTCCAAAATGTTTACAGGTAATTAAGCCACTGAATAATGACTTTTAAAGCAAGATTAGACTCACATTGGGCTCCAAAACTTTATATCATTTCTTGCTGTATTTAGCTGGACACCAAATTAACAAATAATGAAGGAAAGGGTGTCCATGACCTGCACTTCCATTTTAAATCAATCATTATCCAAGTGGCTAAAGCATGTCACACTATTTCTTCACCTGTTGGGTTCATTTTCTAGATTTAGATCTTTCATTTATTTTTAATTTTAATGTTTACTCTCTTTAGAACTGGATGATGCAACTCAATCATAAAATAAATATTAAAAAAAAAAAAAAGAAGAAGAAAGAGTGACAAGCACCATCTATTTGAAAATTTAACGTTATACATTTTAAATAATATATAAAATAATAATAAAAATTTATTATTATTATTTTTTAAAAATATATAATGTATTTGCAGCGAAAAGGCAAAGTGAATGTGGTGGTGGTCCCCAGTTGCGGGCGTGCTGTATCTGCGGTTCTCCGTCTCCGTGATATTATCCTGCGACCGATGTGTCGTTATCGGGAAAGGCTGCATTTCATTTTGGGTCAGGGGAATCTAAAGTGGGTCCCGTTCTGGCCAATCACCATCGGAAACGTGGAAGATCCAGGCAAGGCTTACACATGGCCTGGCTCTTTCTTCAACTACACTTTAGTAGTAGGCAGTAGCTAGGAAGCAGATAGTGTACTTGTGTAGGTAGGTACCCCCTCCTTTTTTTTTTTTGGGGGGGAGACGACCAGAGGCTGACTTACCTCCACTCTCTTCCTCAACGCGTTACAGTAACGCCACACAAATCACTCACTCCTAACCACGCTACAAAAAGATTCAATTTCGTAAAAAGATTGGTTAAGAGATAGTTTCACATCTCAATTTGAATAATGAGTTTCAATTATAAAAGTTATTTGAGAAACTGTTGTAAGTTAAATATTTGAATAAAAATAAAATATTATATTTTATAAATTAAATTTATTGTCTCATTAAAAATTTGATTAAACTAATCGTTAATGATATATTATTTTATAATAGTTATCTAATTTATTACTATCATTAATTTACAAATAAGAATTATAAGATTATAAGTCCTATAAATATGATATGTCTATTTACTAAAAGAGTGTTCCTCCACATTATTCTATTTTTCTTACTTTGCTTTATCTTTTAAATATTCTTAGGTAAAAAATGATATTTTTTGAGTTAGGTGACTCTATTGATAGTGCATATCCATAAAATATTATTATAAGA